GACTCGTTTATTTTGCTTATATCATCCTTTTTTCAAGATCTGTTCTTTTCATTGTTGGTTTTTTTCCCCCTACGCGCCTTGCAAATATTTGACATCCAGGCTGGCAGGGAAGTTTTCCATCTGATCCGGCTGAATCCGGAGAGCGACAGTTGAAATGTGCCTTCCGTTGCACGGATTGGCCGAGAGGGCAAGACAGAAAATGAAATTGTTTCAGCCAAAAATGTCAGTTGGGTGGAAAATGAACAGGGCTTTGTAAAGCCTTGGGGAAAGCGTTGAGAGAGACGTGCGTAATGTTTGCCTTGCACTTAACTCGGCTTTAGCCGTGACGCAACCAAAACAGAAGAGAGACAGGTTAAAGCTCTTTTGGGAAAGCGGGGGCTTCCGTTTCCCAGGAGGGTAAAATAACAATGGTGGCAGTGCAGAGAGTCCTCGACGTACGACCACCATTGGGCCCAAAATTTATTCTGCTACGTGAGACAGTCATTAAGTGAAATTTGCCCCATTTTACAGCCTTTTTTGCCGCAGATGTTACGCGTAAGATGTTAAATTAGCAACCCGGTTGTTAAACTTGACAGAAGGTCGCCAAAGGGGATCCCGTGAACCCGGAACACTGCAACAGTCATACATATGAGTCAGTTGCCAAGCTGACAGTTGCCAAATGTTGACCACATGACTATGGAGATGCTACAACGGTCGTAAGTGTCCAAACCAGTCGTAAGTCACTTTTTCCAGTGCCGTTGCAACTTTGAACGGTCACAAAATGAATGAATGGTTGTAAGTCAAGGGCTACCTGTATCTGAAGGACATTGTATGTAGATCGGTGGTCCACAATCTGTGGGCTGCAGCCCATTACCGGTCCATAGCCTATTTGCAACTCAGCTGCATGAGTGGCTGGCTGCTGTGTGTGCAGATGCACGCACACAGCCCCACTCAAGTGAACATTGTGGGTGCCTGTGGCCCCACTCGCGTGAAGGTTGCAGGCACTTGGGGCCTCACTCACACGAGGGTCGTGGGCACTTGCAGCCCCACTTGCGTGGGCACTCGTCACCCCACTTGTGTGAGCGCTCAGGGATTAACTCGCTCGTACGAGCGTTGCAGACGCTTGGAGCCTCACTCGTGCGAGCGTCACAGGTGTGCTCGGCCCCGCTCACGCTAGCAACGTGCACTCACGTGCATACACGCATGCACTCGCAGCTGCCCCTCCCACTAAACCATTCCTGTTTCCCCTCTCCTTCCCCTCTGGGCTGCCAATCCGTAAAGATTGGAGAACTCTGCTGTAGATCCACAGCTGTGGTCTCAGGTTTCAAGGAGAACAATTGAGGGTTAGGAAATCAAATAAACCAGGGTCCCCCAAACCTTGTGTCAGAGCTTGCCTTGCCTTGAAGTTCTTTATTGGGTTTCATCTATCAGAACCATGACACCTTGGTCTGCAGACCAGTGTCCTTACCACTTTCCACAGAAGGACGATCGAGAGCATCCTGTCATACGGCATCACAGTCTGGTTTGGAAGCATCCCTGCTTCAGACAGGAAGGCGGTGCAGAGAGTGGTGAGGACAGCTGAAAAGATTATTGGCAGTTCCCTCCCTCCCATCCAGGATATAGCACAGAAGCGTTGCTTGAGCAGGGTCCGCAAGATTGTCTGGGACTCTACACACTCTCTTCACGACCTGTTTTCCTTGTTACCTTCTGGGAGGAGGGGGCTTCGTGGTATCCATAGCAGAACATCCAGATTCAGCCATAGTTTCATTCCATACAGCATTAACCTTGTGAACTCTCAAGCTTCCTCCTTCTGTTATGTATTCAAGATGGACAGTATTTAATATTTATTTGTTATGTATATGTAGGGGTGTGGGTCTATACATTTGTTGTATATAGTATGTTTAGGTGTGTGTCATGTATGTGTTTGACTTTGAGAGCTGGCAACTAAATTTCATTTTTGATGTGTGCTGTTGCGCCCACAGTAAAAAAAATGACAATAAAGGTTATCTTATCTTATCTTAGGAACTGGGCTGTGCAAACTACAGGCCACAAGTGTGCAAAACTGTATTTGCACAAGTGGCAGGCATGTGAAACCATCCCTGCCACCCTGCTTCCGGTGATCCACAGAGCTGGAATTTTTGGGGGACCGCTGAAATAAAACCACACTCCACAAACACTCTGTCCAATCAATTATTATAACGTCAGAATTGACATATACCAAAAAAGATATAAATTAAATGCTTTTACAGAAGGCACATCGGTGGCTGTGTTTTTAACAAAAGGAGTCCCGTCATGTCCTCTCGTCACAAAACGTACGGCGCCACGGATCCGTGGCCATTGTGACACCTTAGGACCTCTTTCTTGTTCGGTCCAGCTACTCTGTGGTAGTGGCCTTCACGAATGGTCCTCAGACACCGGATGTTGTTGCCCAAGGCCACGCTTTTGATGGAAGGCAAGTATCTCAACATGGGTCTGGAGAAAGCGGTGGCCACCCCGGTCCCTGACAGGTTGAGCTCTTGCAAAGAACTCAGGCTGTAAAAAACCTTGGGGTTCAAGGATTTAACGTTGGGGTTATTGGATAAGTCCAGCACTTGAAGAGCAGTTAGGTCCTTGAAGCTAAAAGGCAAAATGTTGAGGAGGTGGTGAATGCCGCTTAGTGACAAGTGGGTTAACCCTTTCAGGCCCAAGAAGGCGTCTTTCTCAATGACGGAGACCGGGTTTCCATCCAGGTTTAAGTAACGAAGGGGGATCCCTCGAAGATCTGGAATGCTGGTTAACTGGTTCCCCGAGAGATTTAAGCTCTGAATGTTAGGAACGGTTTTATCCGGTTCTCTGGACACCCGGCTGATTAAGTTGTTGGAAAGGTCAACGTTGATGGGTTTCCCTTGACCTTTGAAGGCAAAGACGTTCAGGTTGATCTCCAAGAGAAGGTTGCTGCTGAGGTCCACGTCTCCCAGAGGCGACTGAGAGAAGCAGTCGTCAGGGACGGCCCCCAAAGAGTTATGACTCAGATCCAAAGACTCGAGGTACCGGAGTCTGGAGAAGGTGGCGGGAATGACCTGGGAGATTTTATTGTAACTCAAGTCAAGGCCCACAAGGGTGGTGTAACCAGGCCCGGTTAACATGGACTGGTTGATGGCTTCCAGATGGTTGGAAGATAGGTCCAAATAGGTGGTGTCCAATGGAATGGGGACAGGCACTAGGTGGGATCCGATCCCACTACAGTCAACTTTGGTAAGGCTGAAGCTGTCAAACAGCCCAAAGGTCTCCACTTCGCAGTGACACCGCGGAGAGCAAGTCCTGGAGGTGCCAAAACAGGGCAGGACTAGCAGCAGGTGGAACCAAGCCAAAGAAGACATCCCTGATACCTGCAGAACAAAAAAACAAAAAAACAAAGACAAAAATGGAAGAAGCGGACGTGACATAGGTGAATGAAGACAGTTCCTAAAATTCTACACAGACTCTGGGATCCTCAGGGACCTTCTTCCCTAACAATGTTAATCCAGAACGTCTCTAGTCCAGGGCTTTTCAACCAGTGGTACGGGTACCACCTGTGGTACATTGGCACCTGGCAGGTGGTACGCGGCCATCCTAGAAAAGTGGTAG